CTGTCTCTTCTCTTATAGCTACACCTGGGACTCGTATTTTTAGGATAGTTTGCAGAGATAGATACAGAGATATAGATATAGATAGATAGATAGATCTGAGCTTACCATTTCCATCTGGGCAGTCCTGCACATTGCAAGAACGGAATTGGGTCCGCTTCCCCTCGCAGTATTTGCCGCCGTTTCGGGGAACCGGTTTGTTGCATTCGCGGGTCGAGTACTGAACCCCACCGCCACAACTGCGGGAACAGTCGCCCCACGGCCCCCAGGGGCCCCAACCTCCATTGGTGGGAATCTGCAAGGAGTGAAGAGAACGGTGCAAAATGTAGAAGAGAATAAAAAACAACAACAACCCAACAATCTCGGACCCTGTATTCTAAATCAAAATCGCAGAGGGGAGATACAGGTAGAATAGAATAGAGGATAGAGAATAGAATACAGAATAAAGTAGAGTGCAATAGAACAGAACAGAGAATGCAGAAATAAAAGAAGAGAAGAGAATGTAGAGGATAGAAATAGAATAGAATAGAATATTGGAATAAAGAATAGAATAGAACAGAATAGAGAATAGAATAGAATAGAATAGAATAGAATAGAATAGAATAGAATAGAATAGAATAGAATAGAATAGAAGAATAGAATAGAATATTGGAATAAAGAATAGAATAGAACAGAATGATAGGATAGGATAACTACAAGAGAAGAGAAAAAGAATACAGAGGATCGAAATAGAATAGAATAAAAGAATGGAATAATAGAATAAGAATAGAATAGAATAAGAATAGAACAGGATAGGAGAATTAGAGAAGAAAAAAGAGAAGAGAATATAGAGGATAGAAATTAGAATAGAATAGAATAGAATAGAGAAATAAGAGAATAGAATAGAACAGAATGATAGGATAGGATAACTAGAAGAGAAGAGAAAAGAGAATATAGAGGATAGAAATAGAATAGAATAAAAGAATGGAATAATAGAATTAGAATAAGAATATGATAGAATAAGAATAGAACAGGATAGGAGAATTAGAGAAAAGAGAAGAGAATATAGAGGATAGAAATTAGAATAGAATAGAATAGAATAGAGTACAATAGAACGGAGAATGTAGAAAGAATAGAATAGAATGATAGGAGAATTAGAAGAGAAAAGAGAATATAGAGGATAGAAATAGAATAGAATACAATATATAATAGAACATAGAATAGAATAGAAGATAGAAATAGAATAGAATACAGAATAAAATTAGAGTAGAGAACAGAACAGAAAAGAATAGAAAACAGAAAAGAATACAGGATAGAATGGAATGGCACACTCTATATTTGGCCAAACAGCTGCTGCTTGTAATTCAAGAACAACCTTGTAGGGTTTTTTCCCACTCTTCACATGCAAACTTACATTGTAGGCCTTCAGCTGCGTGTGGCTGATGCATTGGCCGCTCATGCAGCTCTTCCCTTCGCCGCAGGGCGTCCCGTCCGCCCATGGGAAATATTTGGTCTGGCACATGAACTGCCCGTTGATCTGGCCGGTGCACCAGAGGGAGGAGCAGGGAGGGTGCATGTTGGGACAGTGGCGGGATTCGGTGCCGAAGCTGAGCTGGCATTGCTGGTCCACGTTGTAATTGTTGCCAGGGAAGACGGCGGGCAGCTTTAGGGGCTCGTGGGGCTTGTCCAAGAGGCAGGAACCTGAACGGAGAGGAAGGAAGAAAAAAAAAATGTCGAGTTTTGAGAGGTTGGCGTATCAAATACGAGCTGGATACCCGTGCTTTGCTATGAAACTTTGTGGCGGGGCTTAGTTTTGGGGGAGGAAAACAAGGGGAAAAAATTCTGCCTCTGCCTACCAGCATCCATCAGTATTCATCTGTCCAGAGTCCCTGTCAGTGTGTGTGAGAGGTGAGGGCTGTTTGGAAACTGAAACAGCATTTGCTGTGAGCAAGAAAGAGACAGCAAGGAGCCTTGGGCGTGGCTTAGCTCAACTGTTCTGGACTAAAGCTGCTTGGTGCTCTGAAACTAAAACTCCTCTGCTTGTGTTTTGCATTGGGAAGAGATTTCTTTCCAGGTGGGGAGGGGGAGTAGAACTCCTTAGCATCAGAGCATGTTTAATAATAATAATAATAATAATAATAATAATAATAATAATAATAATAATAATAATA